TCCTGTAATTTCCCACATATCACACAAAATAACATGCCGATAAAAATTTTTATTTATTTTTTAAAATGTTTTTTAGAAGTATCTTATGCTCACCATGGCTGATGCATTTGATCAAAAATACAGTAAAAACAGAATATTTAAGTTTAAAATAACTGTTTTCTGTTTAATATATTACATTTAATATATTAAATGTAATTTATTCCTGTTATGGCAAAGCTGAATTATTAGGAGCAATTACTCCAGGCTTCAGTGCCACATGATCCTTCAGAAATCATTCTAATATGCAGAGTATCAGTATTGAAAACAGTTGTGTTTGTGCTTTTGTGGAAACTTATTTGAAATACAAATATTTTGCAACTTTATAAATGACCTTACTGTCACTTTTGACCAATTTTTATATATAAAATAACGAATCTTACTAACCCCAAATATTTGGTGTTGTGCATCAGCAGAAACATTGATTTGCAAATGTTTAAGACAACTGTTTTCATATCATTAGTACAGTGCAACTGAAAGAGATATTTCACCCAAACTCAAAATTATATCTTAATTTGCTCAAAATATAATGATTTCAAACCTGTATGACTTTCTTCAAACATTCTTCAAAATATCTTCTTTTGTGTTTCCCAGAAGAAAGAAACAACATTAAGATATTGCCTTATTTTATATTTAATTCCCTCTTGTTACATATTTAAATTAACTTTAACAGCCTCAGATATAATCTTGTGTAACACAAAAATAGCTTTACTTGACTTGAATCAAAGTGTTCTGCTGGTGAGAGGACAGAAGATGGGCACTCCAAAGAGCTTTCTATGGATGTAATTAAATGTCTGAATGGTGTACGTGTGTCTAATATGACTAATGAGTCGTGTATTATGCATAATTTGCAGTTCTTGCAGTAGAGGAGCTTGGAGAGCATCAGGTGCTGGGGTGATGAGTCTGAAGGGTTGGAGAGCTCCGCACTGAACCACCTGCCTCGTACACGTCCTTCCCAGGCCTGCAGCACGTCACACTGCAATAGATAAATAACCTCTGTCTTCATAGTCAAGGCCTCAAGCATGACTGACAGAGGATGACTCTTCTAGATTACCCATTTTAATCTTCCTGCAAGTATCCAATATGACCTCTCATAAGTCTCACCTGATGCCATGACCATTATGTCTGAAGACCAGCTATGTCAACCATTGTTTCATTGAGCGAATGCACCTGCACTCCCCGGAAGCTCAAGCAATATTACAGACCCACACCGGTCCATTTCATATACTTATGACCTTTAGACTGGATTACAAATTGGAGTTGAATGGTGGTTGGGGAATCAAGTTAGTCATAATAAAATTGCTGTAAAATGTGATAAATGTCAGCTTTTCCTTCTCTAAATTTAGCACAAGGCAAAACTAGTTGTTCAACAACTAGGGCTGGGAATTTAAAGTGTTCATTTACTACAATCTAAAGAAAAAAATATTTTAAAAATAGTTACACATTTAGCATTTAGTCATGCTTACACTGCTAAAATAAAAATATAACATACCTACCCTAGTAAAACAGTAAGATATTTAAAATACATTTATTTCATACTAAGTGTAGTTCAAATCTAATAACATATTTACTGACATACCGCTCAAGACTTGAACAAGACTAAAAATTATAATTAAACTTTATTTGGAGCATCACTTGTGCACAATGCACATTTATTAACATTAAGCCTAAATGTGTTTTAATGCCACTATTGACAAGGATTGTATGATCTTTGAATAATATCAGTCTTTAAATGCAAGATATGTAAAGTGTACTTGAAGTATACTTGCAACACTTCCACTTTAGCACAATCAAATATACTTCAGTATATATTTAGTTGGACTTCAGGATTACCTACAGACAATTTAAGTGCATTAAGTACATCAGTTGCTCCAATTTAGCAGACTTTAAGTATATCAGTTTAGTATACTAAAAATACAATTGCAAGGTATTTTATTAAGTACATAAATATCTAAATGTATTTGTGTTAAACTTAGCATGAAATAAATGTATTTCAAATACATTTTAGTATATTTATTTTTCTCTAAACATCCTTAAAACAAGACCAATTTACATAAGGACATGGATAAGGTATTAACGCTTATTATTTTTTGTGTTAATCATACACCTCGCTAAATTACCTTGTTATAAATAATATAATATATAGATTTTTTTCTACCATCAGAGCCATTCAATTTTAAAGTACCACCTAAAAACATGCTGCCCAAAACACTGTCTGACTAAACTCACATGATATTTGATAGCAAATAGATTTGTATGAACTGTAGTTTAATGTAATTTTATAATTGTATGTTTAATAATACATAAAATAATAATAATAATAATAAAATAATTGTTAGAAATAAGAAAAATGATAAACATTTTAGCTAATAAAGTCACTTTTGTTCATGTCTATTCAGTGTTTTACTGTCTTTAAAGAATCTTAATCTATAAGCTTTTCTCATCAAGTGCTGATCAATGACAATTGTGTTTTAAAATCAGCATAATACGTAATTGTATTATTATTATTTGAAATAAGAATAAAATTACATGCCGGGAACAACTTAAGTACAAATTCAGTCTCTTTCAGCCATCCATAAAGTGAAGAATGCTTCAGATATATTCCAAGGATGTATGACAAGATACACATGAAAATATATAATATGTAAAGAAACACAAATATATATGTATTACAGTGCATAACATGCTGTAGCTGCAAATCGCTGCCGGACACAGAAAACATAAACAAGCACATAAGATTTATATTTTGTTTGGCCTTTCCTGCTGTTTATTTTACATCAGACCTTAAGGACTATAATCCTTCATTTTTTGGCAGCATGATATGGGTGGCCAAAGCCAGAGGGGAAGAGTATGATGAAAGATGCAGCATTCTGAAGCCTCATTTGACGCTCTCCCTTTTCTTTCTCATTAACGGGAGCATAAAGTTGACCCCCCACAGTATTTGGGGTAAGGGGCTGCCATGCAGAATACGTGAAGCACGGTAAACTCCAGAGGGGAGTCAGATTGGTCAGCTAATGAGTCCTGACAGAGGCAGCAGAAGCCAGAAGCTCCTGAAAAATGATTTTGTTAATACCCTCTCCGTTTTCTGCCTCTTCATCATCCACTTGATCTGGCAGGAGATAATGTGAACCAGTCGAGTTGTTGCAAGTTTTAAGAAAATTTATAACATATGCACACAAACACAAACATTGAAGATGGATGTGGAGTGTCTTGACCTGGATTGACTTTGAATAATTTTCCCTTCTTAAAAAACAATTATATTAGCAATAAAGTACTAGAGGCTGTGCAGTTTTATGACAAGCAGCTATATGTGTAGTGCAAGCCAGGACTATCTGTTTTATAAAAGCTGTGTTGTGATCATGCTTAGCAAGAAATCCATGTGAAGAGAGTTACTATTATGGATTTAGCAGCAAAGAAGAGGAATTACTTAAATAAGGTCAAGAGCGAGATTAAGAGGCTTATTTAATCAAGACAAACATTTATAATCTCTAAGACTAATAGAATGTTTTCAAAGCTTAAAATTGCAATTTGTTTATATATCTCTTGATAGTGTGGAAAAAGTATACAAACTGAAAAAAACATTATACATAAAATGCAAACCCCAAAAAAGTGGGAGATTAAAATAAATACTTTTGAATAACAAAGTATGAGTGGATATAACAATGCATTTTGTCCAGTATTACTCATATTTATGTCATTCTCATACAGAAATATATCAAATTTTCATACACATAAAATATTCATATTCGTGCAATTCAAAGGTGCCCTCTTTCTTTCATTCTAGTTAATCTTTTCACACAGTTTTCATTCTTTTTTGACTTCTATTGAAATATACACAGTATGACTCAGCACTCTGAGCCAACAGAACACAACACCAAGCTCTTTATGCATGAGTCACTGACTGACAAGATAAAGCCTTTTAGCCTGTTATTTCATGAGGTGGTCTCAGTGAAGCAGTTATAATATTTATCATAAGATATTGTCACACAGCTTATGTAACACTGCTAGCGCCAACACCATGAAATAACACTGCTCCTCTAATGAATAATGTAACAGATTACACAATTCATCCATCTGAACTAGGGATGCACTGATACCGATACTGGTATCGATATTGGGCCCGATACTGGTCTCCTGTACTCATACTCGTTAAAAACTTCTATTTCTGAAAATATCACAGTTAGGAGATTTATAACGAGTGATTCCCTGCATTATTACAGCAAAGCACGTGATTGCAGTGCTTAAAATAACCGAAGGATATACAGTTAAACCAAAAACGATTCAGAGACCAGATATAATTTTTTACTAGTGGGTGCAGGACACTATAGTTCATTTATGTAAGTGAGGATAGCAAAATAAAGTAAACTGTGACAAATCATACCCAAAAATTCTTCATACAGTGGACTACCAGTAAAATTTGGGTCCAAATATTATTCAGACAGAGTCTGGGAAAAAAACTGAAGTTGAGGTTTTCATGAAGCTGGTTGACAGCATGCCCAGGAGACTACAGGCTTTCATTGAGGCTAAGGGCTGCCCAACAAAGTATTGATAGTTGTGTAAATACTGTCATACTAACAGCTGTCTGAATTATTTTGGTTGATTGTAACCTATACTTTTCTATCAAAATTATCTATCATTATCAAGATGAATTTGTTCTGACACAGTGTAACTCGGAGTTCTTGTCATATTTTATTACCATTTTCTAAACTATAGCGAATAAACTGTGATAATGTGAGAAATGTTGAAGGTGTCGGTATCGGTACTCAGTATCGGCAAGTACCAAAAATAAAAGTATCGGTATCGGGTGAGTACTGGAAAAAGTGGTATCGGTGGATCCCTAATCTGAACTGTTTTTAAACCTCGAAATGGTAATACAAATCGGTATTGGGTGGCTCTTACAGCAGTACAAACTAATGTAGCCACTGAAATGTTGAGTGATCGATCAGGAATTTATAGGTTCTTACCAGTCAGGTACTCTGGATCAGGCACTGGGTCAGACAGCTCCTCATGACACTGGGCTTCAGTCGGCACAGACGCAACCACCATGCCATCCGGGAGCTGCTGCTCGATGCCACGGGCAAAGTTCTTCTGCCTAGACAGCAGAAGATAAAGGAGGCAATCTACTCAAAACACAGTCCCATGTTCATTCATCCGTCAATCATACAAATCCTACATTTCTGCCACATCACTGTAGCAAAACCTATAGAAAAATATATGATTGTGCCTTTCTTCATTGTTTGTTAAAAGCTCATAATGTTAGTGTTTACGGGCTATTTTGATGTAGGCTACTTTATCAATATTTCATAATATTTTCGTATTCTTTCTTCGATTCATTTAGCATTACTCTTCTAATGGATCGTTTTATTGATCAAATTGCCATGAAGCACCACTTTTTTGCAATTAGCAGGTCATTTAGATAAAACTTATATAAAATATATACAAAATATGTTATCAAAAATATTTAAGAGTACTAAGTGCAAATAGCTTTAGATGCTATTTACACTAAGTGAAAATATCAGTATTTTTTATGCGATTTGCACTAAGGGTCAATATTGTTGGATGCTTTTTATATATATTTATACTTTCACCTCAGTGTATTATAGTACATTGTATAACAGTATGCTGCATATTCAGTGTATGCTGTATGTTTCTATTTATTAAAATAATAAATAAATGCTGCCTTATTGGAAACTTGAGGCGAATTTTAACTTTGGTCAGTCACTATTTGCACTTAGTGGAAATAGACATTATATTTATTTGTTAAGAATATTTGGTTTAGAAAAAATATTAATAATAAAAAAATATGTGCACAACTCAAAAGTGGGTTGACAAATGTAGAAAGGGTTTCTAGGTCAGACTGAATAAATATAAATAGGGACGAAGGAGTGAAGTGAAAGTGGATAGGATAAATTTGAAATGGTGTTAAGACATTACTTTCCATTATATTACATAAATATCATGGGGAAGCACTGAAAGAAGGTAGAGCAGCTCAAAGCGAACAAGAAAAAGCAAACTGAAGAATGCAGTGTGCAATGAAATAACTGTATATCTAAATGAGATATTCTGAAGTACTATAGACAAGAGGAAAGAGTAAGAAAATACAGTTTGAGTTTAAAGAAGAAAATAGAGATAAAATTGGAGAAGATGGGTTAGACTAGATATAGTTTAGTTTCAAAGTAATGTGAACAAATAAGTATGCATTGGACTGATGGATAAACTGATACAACAGCAAAAGACTCAAAGATGCACAAACTAGAATCTCTGACTCAAAATCTCTATGTATCTTAAGTTAGATCAAGGTTAAAGTATTCTGGGACTGAGTATATACATGTGTGGAAACCGAACAATGCGATATAAAAAATTGATGTCAAAGAAAAGTATGAATAAAAGCAGGAAAGTAGAATACAGAATAAACGATTTCCTTTTCAAGGCAAAATAAGCACCTAGAAAGCACACCAGGGAAATATATAGAATGCAACACAATTCTAGAATGATGCCTGCAAGAGCATCTAGTAAATGAGCGAGCATTCAGAAAATTGTACCAGGAACCATTATGCAATCTAAATATCTCTTCAAGCATTACCGTCATATCCGATGTATAAAGTGGACTTGGATGAAAGAATTGTATTATCTCTGAATACACAGAGCACTGTACAAATAATTGGGCTTAAACAGGAAAAAAAAAAAAGCCAGAGGCTTGCAATATGCACTTCATCTTAATATCAGAATGAAAAGTGGCTGAAGTAGTACAGATTGTCATTTATATTCGACAAACAGTCATATATGTGGAGGTGTACAGTGCTAAATACCCCCGCTTCCTGGATGACTCAAAACATTGAGCTATTTATAAAGAAAACAACCATTTACTTGGCTAAATAATAGTAATATCCTCTTTTATTCGTAACCCAGAACATTACAAATCAGATTCTACTGATGCATATTAGATTGAAGGTTTTCTAGGGCAAATTAAATCTGGCATAAACCTCAAAAACTGTTCCCAAATACGCCCTCTCGGGTGTGCTGGAAGGTACACTGGAGCACATTCTGCAGAAATTTCTCTGAACACCGGGGGATTTCCTCCCCACATCTAATAAAAATTTATAAAAGTTGTTTCTCTTGTCAAACTTGAAGCTCACGCTTCAATAGATACTCGCATATTGAAATATTAATAGCTCTGCCTTATTGCTTGTCAAAGTCACATCTGATAAAAGGTTCAGTTCCCCATGGAGCCAGTGCAGCTAAATAGAAATGTGCAATAAACTTAGGGGCCAGTAATTTGAATGAAAATGATGCATACGGTTCTTAACTTTCTGAAATTATTATGGGGCAACAATTGCAGCTATAACCCCTGTGAATTAAAATGCCTGTGATGTTTGGTGCATAGTTATAATACCAATAATAAAGAAATATTAAAAATAAATGTAAACGCAACTTCATTGCTCACTACAACATCTTATATCTTACCACAACTTTCTCTTAATATTAGCTTATGAAATCGACTTCAATAAACTAATATGTATGAATAAACCTGCATTTTTGTCTAAAGTTTTAATGCTTGTTACTTTTTCCTGTGGAATTCTCTAAAAATATAGACTGCATACAGAAAAGTCTATGGAGAGAAACCTCAGTTGTGACGTAACTTCATTAATCATTTGCGTCGACAAAGAACGGACATACAAGAGGGAGATTTCAGCAATAATATCTAGCAGCACAGTAATTATAGAAAGAACATGCAAGTTTTATAAGATGCTCTGGGCATCACCGGTGGGATTATCTGTCGAATGAGAATACGGGAACAATATAAATAATTCAAAATGGACAATTTTGAGTGTAAAACTAGGTGAACTGCTGCTGTCCAGCAACAGCTGACGGCAGACTATAATAATACATAGTATAATACTGATATAAGATGTCTTTAAAAGACAAATATAAAAAAGGCAAGCTCAGAAAGCTAACACACTAAAACTGCTGGAAAATGAGAACTAAAATTTGCAGCAAGTTTAGTTTTCTTTCAGTTTAAATAAGTAATTTCATTAAAGTTGTGTGAAGTTGATATTTCATTTCAGGCAAGATAATGAGATATCCAGTTGTCAATTAATATCATTAAGAGATGATTTCATGCATAATTAATCATAATATGTGGGCCCGAATGAATTATAGAATGGCTGAATTTTGAGCACGTATTTGTAGCTTGTTTAAAGCAGAAGTGTGTAATTTCTATGTCACTACACAGAACTGAAGTCAAAGAAGTTTCCCCAAATACTCCACCAACCTCAATCAAACAGATTGACTGAGTCGATGTTGCTGTGTTGGGCTGGTTAAGATGCTTTAACAAACAGAAACATTTTATTACTACATTATTATTATTATTATATAACTACATAAGTATTGTTTCTCATATAATTACATAATACGTACAGAAACCTTTTTACATTATAGTTGTGCTAATATCACAGCATACTGAAAACATGAAATCAACATTTCATTTATACAAGAAAATTATAATTATAAAAGGAAAGATAGAAGAGCATTTGAAAAAATGAGCCATATGAAAATAGCTCAGACTTCAGGCTTTTAAAAATAATCAGACCGTTCACAGCCCGTGTGTGATGTTTTAATTTAGTGCTGGGAGAAAGGTAGCACTTTGAGTTTCTTGCTGTGGACAGAAATACCCAGCTGGGAGATTTTAAGTGATGTAGTCCTAATCATGATTCTGCAAAGTCTTAATGAGAACAAAGGGCACTAAAAAATTCATTAAAACCAGCTCAAAGCACACTGGGAAGGAATGGAAGTGAAACTGGTTAAGGCTGGAACCCAGAGGAGAGGGAAAGTAATTAGGAAAGGGCACATGCTTTTAGGTGGAAAGTCTCATGATGATAAGACAGAAATCGAAGTGAAATCCTGCCTGGCAATGCACACAAGATATGGCGGAGGAAATAGGCGTGGATATTTGGAATGCTCTCCAAAAGCCTGTGTATAGTATTTAATTAAGATGTCAACAAAATGTTTGCATAATGTACTTGCTTAATTTCTTTGCACTCTGCTCTACAAATGCAATGGTACACAGATATGGACTGCTACTCAACAAGACCGCTTCTCAACAAGCTAGAGATTTTGGCAGCATTGCCATAGGAAGTTTCTGGATAAAGACTGTAGCACAGCTTTGAGCACAACATCTAGTGGTTAATGTACACTCAGTGTTCTGTATTTGAAGAAGAGATTGTGTAAACCCCTATGTATGCGTGTGTGCAAACTCCGGAAATATGCAGTAAAGGTTGGGTTGTCAGAATTTGTATGCCTCCCTTTCGTTTACTATGTAGACGTTCTGACATTCTCTGTAACTATCCATCAAAGTAACTAAAAGCAACTGACTACAAACACCCTAGAAATGCCACAGCAACTATCCAAAACAATCCATCCATCCATTCATTCACCTACCTACCTACAGCAAATATAAGCACAGCTTGTAAAACCTAAATTTCATGCTTTTAGAACCATTTTAAACTTCTTGACAAACTTTGGTAACACTCTATTTTAAGTTGTCCTTGTTACACTTTACATGTACTAACTATTATAATAACAATACATTATGCATAATTACATGCAAGTAACCCTAAGCCAAACCCTAACCATATAGTAAGCACATGTCATGTAGTTAATTAAAATTACTCAGTACTTAAATGTATAATTACACTGTAACAGGGATACCTTAAAATAAATGTAACCCTAACTTTACCTGTCTGACTTTTACAATGACACTGAATGGATGTGTTTAAGTTTAAAGTTCAGAATACTAAAAGAATGTTCACAAATTTATAACATTTCTGTTATTATTAGATAGACACAAATGGACAATATACAGCTATATTTGCATGGCAATTACTAAATTGGCACATAAATAGCACTAATGTGCTATTTTTGTAGAAATGGCACTGTAACATGTCAATTACTGCTTGGGGAGGTGCCGACTGGGCTTGCAACATGCCAGATCTCAAAAGACTATGTATAATTAAAATGATGAGCACGGATATGCAATTGGCTTGCAAATACGCAGTACCAAACCAGGATGAACTAAAAGCTAAATTAAGCTGACAATTGACAAGCACACAGACTGGTATTCTGAGATGGAACTGACTGGAATGGACACATTCTTTCACTTTCATAATATCTGTGCGTTTAACAGAGATATGCATTAGCATTTAAAAAGGGAAACATGGGGGAGAAAAAGAATCAAAGTACAAGCTAGAAGACTACTTAGGGTTAAAAAAAAGAGGTTTTGTTTTTGAGAAGGTGATCATACTGTCTATCGAAAACAAAAGTTAAGATATTTTGTATATAAACATTGGACCCCACTGACTTTCATTGTTTGGACAAAAACACTGAAATATGAGTAAATGATGAAAGAAAATTTTGTTTGAATGAAGTATACTTTACACAGACACCAAATTGCAACTTTTGCCAAAACACTCAATTGAACGTAATTGCTAAACCATAATTTTCAATATGATCTCAAATTGTTTACTTCAAACACTTCCATGTTCAGATTATCTTGGCTTTTAAAAGCAACCTCAATAAATCTGTCCCCAACATTCCCTGTTTCGAGACTGTCCTCTACATTTCTTCATAAAAGATACTTCACAGAGCAAGGAAACATCCAACAGCACACCATCGCTGCAATACAGGGCTTTCAAAATGGCATGTTCATCTGTCTGAGAACACCACTGACCTGAAATGCATCAAACAGGAGCTAATACATTCCACATTGTCTTTTGGGCAGGTTGACACAGGAAATGCATTGCACCTCACGTTCAGGATTAAACAGCATGAAAATGTAACCATGCCTTTCAGATACGAGTCAGATCGTAAAAGCAGCTGCTGTGTGACAACCCAGACTTGTGGGTAGTAACTTTTGGTGAAACGCCAAAGGAAACACACGGCCTTGTGTAAGTTTAAAACAGAATAATAAACAACTTCAACCTCTCTGGATGGATTTTATCTGGCAGTTGCTCACTCTTTTCCCTGTTGCATCATTTTGGAAAGAGATGAATCAGAGTTACCTCTGTAAGTATATGTTTAATTCCTCCTGATTTTATTGAGTGTACATTGCATGCATACGAGTTGATGTAACATGAAAATTTTAATAATTTGCCATGTTATTCAATCTCTTTCTCTTTAAGAATTCACTTGGCATTCAAAATCCATAAAACATGGCACTAAATGTGTTAAAATTAAACTGCAATATTTAGTCACTGTAATTCTTTTCAGGAAAAATACCCTTCTTTCTATGTGAATTAGGCTTATTATAAACTATATACAGGAAATGCTATTTTCCTGAGACAATATGTGTTGTGTTACTAATGTCCATGCAAAGCAGGTGTTAACATGTAAACTTTCTTAAAAAAAAATATAAATCGAATGATAAAAAAAAAGAGCATTATAACTTGGCACATTCAGCAATATGTGTTGTGTTACTAATGTCCATGCAAAGCAGGTGTTAACATGTAAACTTTCTTAAAAAAAAATATAATCGAATGATAAAAAAAGAGCATTATAACTTGGCACATTCACTACTGTTGAAGTTTGGTGTCTGTAATATTTTTCTAATGTTTTTGAAAGACGTCACTTGTGCTCAAAAAGGCTGCATTTATTAGATCAAAAATACAGTAAAAGCAGAAATAATGTGATTTTTTTTACAACCTAAAATAAAATTTTTCCTTTTTTTATACATTTTGAAATGTTATTCATTCTTGTGATGGTAAAGCTGAATTTCCAGTCTTCAGTGTCACAAAGACCCGTCAGATCCTTCAGAAACTATACTATGTTGATTTGGTGCTCAAGAGACATTTATTTGTGTTATCACAGTTTGTACAGCTTAATATTTTTTGTGGAAACTGATACATTTCGGTTTCAATGATGAATCAAAAGTTCAAAAGAGCAGTATTTATTTGAAATTAAAATCTTTTGTAAAATTGTGAACGTCTTTACTGTCACTTTCGACCAATTGAATGTTTCCTAGCTGAATAAATGTATTAATCACTCAAATAAAAAATAAAAAAATTTACTGAATCCAAATTTAAATGGTAATGTGCAAATAGTAGTCAAGCATACTGTATTTTACAGTGTTGAGTCAGGAAATCACACCAGATTGTAGAAGTCTGCTTAAACCTCCCTATCTGAACATTCACAACCAACTTGTGTGCAAATTGTGTTGAGTTGTTAAGCACATATTCTGTGGATATTGTGCACCTTAAACAGATTAGCATAATTCCTTTATTGAATCAGGCCCTAAAACAGCAAAAACAGTGCATGCAAATAAATGGTAATATTAGCGAATACTATTTATTTTTAGTGAATTCCCCCTTCAGTGTCTCACAGTGAAATAAAAAACAAACATTTAACCACCAAAAATTTTAAACCTCGCATTAGATCAGATAACCTTACCTCGAATAACCAAAAGGCAAGCATTTGTCTCAATTAATCATAAAAGTGTTGTGTTTATCCATGGCGTTCGCTTTAAAGATTTCCATTCCTCAGCCTAGAAGATCAAACAACATTTCATTTCCTGCCACTGCTCCTCCTGAGCACCAGAATTTTGACTATTTCCTCAGGTCTGAAATTAATTGTTGAAGCCCTGCTATACTCTATGAAGGATTAATGAACTTGCCGTATCCTCCTTTTGTTCAACTCAAGATCCAGTAGATTCAGCTGGCCCAATTAAGCCCCATTAAACCAAACTTGCTTATGGTCACTTTTAATTTGTTCCTCACCATTCCACATAATTAGAGTGCGTGTTAGGCCTGGGCTTCTCAAAAGGTGAAGAGAACTGCACAGAGAGTAAGTCCTGGAGCATGAGGGCCAGTTGTGCTTTTCAAAGGCTGTTGAAACCCAATGTCTCTCCGGGGGCCTCCAAATGAGTTCAGAGCATTTGAGATTTGGCTTCTTGATAATATTAACTCTCCTCCCACTATTTCTCCATCACTCAGGCCTCCCTCCTCCCGTACTGCACCAATCAAACCATGTGGAGTAAATGGATAAACTGCTGCAGGAAACTGGGCCTGTAAGTGTCCGTGTTTAATTTAAGGGCCGTCAATGACTTTGCATGGTGACCTTTAAGTTGAGCTGACCACAGTGCTCTTTTAATTAGAGGAACCTTCAAGGGTCTTTGTATGTAACAAGATAGAAATTCTGCTGTGCTGTATTTCACAGGATTTGTGCTTTTATTAAATTACACTTGATGATTGGATCGTTTAACTGCAGTCCATTTAAGACCTACAGTACAAAGACAATTTCAGACAAATACTGGACATAGCATAAACTATATCAATAGTAAAACAAACAAAATCTTTAAAAGGCATAGTAAAACTAAAAATATTTAAAATATATTTTGGAAAAAAACGTCTGTCGAGTTTTGTTTTTGTTTTTTTTTGGGGGGGGGGGGGCATACAAGAAAAGTCAATGGGGTTTTCAGCGTTCTTTTTTTATGTATTTATTTGAATGATTTTAATTAATTAATTTTATTTTATTTTTCGTTTATTTAATTCGGGGTGCTCCACAAAAGAAAGAAGAGCACACAGGTTTGGAATGATATGAGGGTAAGTAGATGGTGACAGAATTTTCATTTTTGGGTGCACTATCCCTTTTAACTTTACTAAATATAAACTGTTTGTTAGCCTATGTAGAGTTAAATTATTCTCTAAAAAAAAGATGGTTTCAAATAATTATATAGTTATGCACCAAGTTGTTTGGCTAAATGAATAAATAAATAATTCTACATTAAGAGTTACAGGCTAATAAAATAAAATACTTGGTGGAAAGAATTCAATTCACTTTGATTGCTAGCATAGATATTGTTCCAAAGCAGCTTGAAAACAAATGTTGGCAGTTCCAACAACAATAATTCCCTAGCATTTAGTAGGTGTGAAAGAAACTTTGGACAAGCCATGAATCGATTAAAAGTGAAGGCCATCTTCTGTATTAAACATATTTATACGTCATACTGGTAAAGGCATACATAAATATTACATCTAAATAGTTTATAATGATTATCGATTAATAGAATATTTTGTGAGTATTAGAGTTTTATCATATTAGTATTTCCACCATGATAAAAAAAAGCCATATGGCACTTTCAGTCAGAGACGTGCCGGGGCGGGTAGAGCACATGCTACGACTTGTAATTTCCTGATCCTATCCTTCTCTGTTTTCCTTATCATATCCTGTCACCTCACCACTGTCCTGTCAATATAATTGTCAAAAGCTTCAAAATAAAATAAATAAGCCAGTGGAGGATATGTGTTATGGTTAAGTTAACTCCACTTTCCAAACAAGCTAAACAACACCCCTTAAGCCTGTTAAGATCACTGTAACAGCAGGCTCCAGTGACGTATAACTCATATTTCTGAACTGCACATAGGAATTTTTGATTTAATAAATCCAAGAGAAAGATAAAGATGAAATTCAATACCACATTATCAGCACAATATTACTATTAAAAATGGGGGAAACAAAGTCATCTGTCATCCTTAGCACTGGTAAAAATCAAGCATATTGTAAAACATCACCTGAAGGAAGCCTTAAGGACCTGTCCTGATGTAATCTCTTTGGTGTGGTTATTGTAGCCGTAGAAGAGGTCCCCAAACACAGTCTGGTTGGCTGGGATGTCAGCTGTGTCCCCACAGTCCACTCCCTCAGTGCAGGCTTCTGACAGCGGCTGACATGAGCGGCCGTCTGCTCCTCTCTTATAATCTTCAATACATCTACAAACATATGGCAATGAGAAAAGGATATGAGCTAAAGGAAGAGAGGAAAGGAGAGTATGTCTGCCAAAGTAAGATAATGCTTGCCACTATCAGTCAAGATACACCAAATTATTCTTTATGATACTTTTTTCATCCTTTTAGAAAATTGGTAAAAGTTATCAAAAACTATAAAATCATACAAATGAGAATATGGGAACTATTCAGTGACCAACAAATGTCAATTAGGCTTCTAACATCCAGTATACAGTACATTGTCAATAAAGCAGGTCAGATTAATTCATTGTTGACCTGACTGTACACAATACTGGTGATGAGTGATTTTCCATTATTTATGTATTTAAATAAATGTAGAAATAAAAATGAGATCATGCATTATATATGCCTATATTGAATTAGGATTATGGGCTATTATGAATTAAATGAATCAGTTATCAATTGAAATCAAATCATGCTTTTAAATTAACTAATTATTATATGTAACGTGTAACCATGAATATGCATTATGATATGCATTGTAAAAAAAATTAGTTTTCGAAGTTGTAAATAAAACAAAAAGAAAATACTGTTTCAGCATTTCAAAATTTCACGCTTAATTCAGTGAGATACTTGCTATTTATTTGGAATTATTTCTAAAATTTTCTAGCAGTTTCTGAGTGAAAATTTTGTTTTCAGTGCATTGCAACTAATTAAATAAAAAGACTCAAAATATTACATTATATTAAGTAAGGAATCATAAGTACATTATGATTGCATTAGGATTTATAGTTTTTATTTTTTCCCCTAAAACAAAGACATCACTTCACGAAACAGAGCAATGTGTAGTACTAGTTCAGCATTCAAAACTAGAGGTACAGGTAATGATCTCACAGCATAGCATCTGTCATGAATTTAAGGTTTGCCATTCTTTTTATTTACTGCAAAACAGTATCATTGTAATAGCGTGGCAGCTCACAGGAGTCGTTTATATTTATGTGACTTTGAAACTTAGCTGTCACATCTGCTCTGTACTACACAAGCAACCGAGAGAAAGAAGTGTCAGGGCTTAAACGCTCAGTCTCACTTCTCTTGGTAACACACTACAGTTTTACAGGAAACCGTCATCAGCGTAGGTGAGACATCCTCTCGGTTGCACATCCATAGCACAGACAACGATTTAAGTGGCTTCAGATTGCCCGTCACATTATCAGGTTCTCCACAGAAAAAGAGAATTATGCACATTTGCCAACTTTAGTCGAAGCGACATGCCTATAACAGCGAATGATCTCGAAGACTCTGAATAGGTCAGGAAAAAGGTTGTGCTAACAGGGAAGAAGATGTAAGACAGTGGCTATTTATTCTACCCGGCTCATATTCTCCACAGCTGACACATGAAAGTCTGGAAGTTGAAGGAACGGTTAATGTTGTGTGATGCATGTGATGTCATGTCAGAGTAAAAGCAATTCCACCAAGACATGACAGGACACAGAAATGGCATTTGAGTTGAGTTCCCTTTAAAAAGAATAATATATACACTATCATTTTTTTCTTTTATGAAATGAGGAATAAATTAATACTTTTATTCAGCAAGGATGCACAAAATGGATCAAAAGTGACAGTAAAAACTGTTTTCAACATTGATAATACTAAGAAATGTTTCATGATCACCAAATCAGCATATTAGAATGATTTCTGAAAGATCATGTGACACTGAAGACTGGAGTAATGATGCTGAAAATTCAGCTTTGCCATCACAGGAATTAACACATTTTCACATTTTAAAAATATAATAAAATAGGAAACAGTCATTTTAAATTATAATAATATTTTATATTATTGCAGTTTTTGCTGTATTTTTGATTAAATAAATAATGCAGCCTTGGTCAGTATAAGAGACTTAAAAATAATTTTAAAAATCTTACTGACCCCAGACTTGAGAAACAGCAAATCCTTTTTTGTTCAGCACTTGACTATATATATATATATATATTTTTTTTTTTTTTTTTTTTTTTTTTTTTTTTTTTTTGCTTGCATATCTTACCAAGCACATTTTTACTGGTAAATATGTGATGACATTAGCATGTTTCATTTGAAGTCATGTTCACGCTTAATTTAAATAAACATATAGACAGAAATGTGTGAACAGGTAAAAAGTGTGACAATTCACACTCAGACACAAACAGTCACCAAGGACAAAGAAAGAATGTGGAAAAACTGTGAGGTGCTGTGTGTGAACTACATGAATAATCAGCTGAACTAACCATAATGCACTAACTGTGAATTTCTGATAATTATTCAACAGAAAACATCAGAAAGTCTTCAAAAAAATATCAGGTGTAAATACCAGCACGTACCCTGCTGTTTTAAAAAAGCATGAAAGAAAAAAACATGGTTGAGAAAGCCCTGATAACATGTCCAGATCTAGTTATCATACAGTCTGTATGTGTGTGTAGAGTGTGTAATCTCACCCGCAGAACATCAGGATGTTGTAGAGAGTAGGGTCCTCCTCCAGAGGTGCCAGCTGCTGAAGGCACAGCTGTTCGCAGCCCCCATTAAAGCCGTCAGAGCAGTCAATGCCAATGTGGTGGTCATAGCAACCGGTGCCATCCTTCATCGGGCTCAAACCAGGAGGACACTGGGGGGGAGATAAATAAATAAAAAAGACTTTTAAACATTCTCTGATCTATCATAATACCCCTTTATCTTTGGTATGTGGCAATTTCAGCATATTCGCAATAATAAATAAGCTGCTAATGCATGTGTTACAGTGTGTTGTACTATTGTGTTTGGGTTTCCATGTTAAATTGTGCTTAAGATTTGAAATCTAGTTTTTGCTAGTAGTGTTGTTTTTAAAAAGCAATGTAAAAGGTCCTGAATGTTTTGTTGAGTGTTTCAGCTACTGTACTATACGCAGTAGAACCCCCAGTTTACCATTATCAAAAGAAAAAAGAGCCAATCTGAGGTTGCTCAAATCTTTGTATTCAACAGATACAGTATATAGTGACAGAAACGTTCCTGTGGAGGAAAGCAAAAAATAAATAAAAATAAAAAAATAATAAAAAAAAACCGGACACATTGCAGGCTGGTCTAAAACCTTCATCACTCAATCACCCACAATGCCACTGACAGCCACTAATGTTAAAACCTTTCAACCAAAAAAAAAGAGGGGGAAAATCTCAAAAAGTGTTACAACAAATAATCATTGGTGGAACAAAGTTTTCAAATATTAATAACATTTCAAGAGTACCATTAGACATGATGTAAAATAGGTAGTAGAACAGATATACTGTAAGTCTACACTGTAAAAAAAGTTGTAAATAAAACTAAATACAAGATGTATGTTTTACAAAAAAATACCATTTCAGTCTTTCTACTTCAGAATTTCATGTTTAATTGTTACTTGACATTTCTTTGTGATTATTTGTGAAATTTACCATTGTGTTTTCGCAAACGACAATGGTGTAACAGTTCTATGCCATGGCAAAAGTTCGAGCAAACCATTCTAACTGTTCTGTCTTTGGCTGCACTGATGAGCACAGCACACAGTTTAGAGTCCCAGCCTCAGAGGAGACATGAGAGCAGTGGATTTACGGATTTATTTACTGTATTACGCTGCTGCCACACAGATCTAATATAAACATGCAATTTCTTTCCCAGCTGTTTACCTTCACAGACATAACCAACTGTTTTTGTAACTCGTGCGTTCTTAACAAACTTGTGTATTTTACAGTTTAAGCACATTAAGACATGAAAGAGAACTTCGTTTAGTACTCACATACTGTGACAGCTGCTTTCTGTGTGTTTGCTTCGGATGTGTGCACTCAGAAAACCATATATCAGAAATTTAAATTAATATGGTTTAAAATGCATGATTTCAGCACTATAGACATGATAATCAAAACCAAACAGACGTTGTTGTTGTTTTTTTAGCAGAGTATCTGAGGTACGAGATGTAAAAGCACAGCCCTATTCTGGAAAAGGTGCGGGGAGCAACAGCTCATTTGCATTTAAAGAGACATGCTCAAAAACAGCATGTTTCTGCTTCCAATCAAATACGCATTTTCAAAATGATACAATAAATGATCTGTGGGGTATTTTGAGTTGAAACTTCACAGACACATTCTAGGGACATCTGAGACTTATATCACATTTTGTAAAATG